GGATGCCCTACAAGACGGTGGTATTTGCAATATTTTGGGTGGTTCACCCTGCCAGCTTCTTCAGGATGCTTCATCTCAGGTAACTCAATGAGTTTTGCTTCCATCAGATCGTCAAATATGCCAGAGACGTATGTATCAAGGAATGGGTACTGCTTTGCTTGCATTTCTTTCAGAGTCAATCTTCTTTGTTCAGTTTCCTTGAGGACATCCTTCTTTTCAATGGCTTTATCAGCAGCTTTTCCTTTGAACTTGACAGGCATAGCATTGATCGTCATGGACTCCTTATTTTGAGATTTTGAGGAAAATTTTCCCCCTTTCCTTTGCTCATATCGATCCTTGGAGCTTTGGGGTTCTTGAATTGGAGGACCATTAGCTCCGCTTGCGGCCATGCTTAGCTCCATGTCGTGGGCTCGAGTCGCTAACTCTTCGAATGTTTTCGGCCGAATACCTTGAAGGATGTAACGAAGACCCCAACTCATACCTTGAATGCACATCTCAATGGCAGAAGCCTCAGACAGACGATCCTTGCAATTCAGACTTAGGTTCCTCCACCTATTGATGTAGTCGATGACTGGCTCTTCCTTCCATTGTCGAGATGTAGTGAGCTCGATCATGCTGATCGTACGTCTTGTGCTGTAAAAGCAACTAAGGAATTCGTGCTCTATTTGCTCCCAGCTATCGATGGAGTTTGCTTCTAAATCAGTGTACCAGTCAAATGCAACCCCTTTGAGGGAACGAACAAACTGCTTCACGAGATAATCACCATGAGTTCCCGCATCGTTGCATGTCTCAATAAAGTGGGCTATATGTTGCTTCGGGTTGCCTTTGCCATCAAACTGCTGGAACTTGGGAGGTTGATATCCAATAGGCATCCTCAAGTTATCGATCCTTGGTGAATATGGCTTGACGTAGCTGTGGGTTGACTTGGAACCACCATCAAGTTTATCCTCAATTGTCCCCATGATGAAATCTTTCAGTTGATCAATGGGGATCATTCCCGTGGGCGAATGTTGGAATGGAGTCTTTTCTCCTTTGTTATATTGCTCTTGCTTGGACGTCTCAGACTCTTCGTGATCTTCAGTTCGTTTGT